TCAGTCAAGGGGGTCACGTGGGCGTCGCGCCCCGCCCCGGCCGCGGCCCCGCCCCCGCGCGCTGGGGTCTGCGCGCGCTGCCCGCGGCCGGCAGAAGCGTTCGGGGCGGCCGGCGGCGGCGGCGGCGGAATGGGCTGAGGGCTGCCGGGGCCGGGCGAGCGCGCGTGCCTGTGCGGGGCCCGGCTGCGGGGCTGACTCTGCGGGAGCGACGCGGTGCGGGGAACCAGCATGGTGGCTCACGATGAGGTGGGCGGCCTGCTGCCCATTAAGAGGACCATACGGGTGCTGGACGTCAGTAACCAGTCCTTCCGAGAGCAGGAGGTGAGGGGCGCTTGCCGACTCCTGGAACTGGGGAGGTTAACGCCTTATTCACAGCACGGGTTCAAGCTTTTACTCTTAAAACGTCCGACTGTGTGCAAGTTTGAAATGTGGTGAGGGACTGCGGTCTAAGTTGAGTTCGTACATAGCATAGTTGGGTGGACACGACTTTTATGCCGAAAGAAAGCTCTTAAATGAATGCGCTTTTCTGGTTTAATGCGTCACATTTCTGATGCTTAATATATGTATTTTTTAACTTGCTTTTATACCACCTGGTCTAACTTAAGAACTGCTTTAATGAAGTAAGAGGAAAAACAAGTCCTTCCTTGTAAATTAATGTTAGTGAGCAAATTGCCACTAAGATGGTCTCTGACGTGGCGCGTGTTCATTTTTTGTGCCACATCTAATAAGTTCATTGTGTGCCGCTTGTTTGTTCAGGAAGAAAGGTCTGCGTTAGAGTGTTTAAACCAATTTAAGTTCTACCCTTCTGGCTTTGTCTGAAGTCCTTGTGGTTTTTTAAAAGTCTTCATGAACATTTATCAGAGTAAATTATTTTTATACCATTTTATGTACTCTTGACGGTTGCTGTAACGCTGTGTGGTATTTGATTTATACTCCATACTTCAGTATACACGTATGTAACGTGGGTGTACACGTCCCCACTTAGACACATATGATGGAGAGTGTTCCACGTTCAGTTCACTGTGGCGATGGTTTATGTGTATCACAACTTACCTAATTAGACGTTTAAGTATGTGTAGTTGTGTACCTCACAAAATGCAGCTGCCGTCTTCAGGAGGTACACTGTTATTTGGTGAGGTTTGGCTTGGGTTTGGTTTTTTGGTCTTTGTTTAATGTCCTTGTTTGTTGTGACTATAAATTTCCTCTGAGCAGAGCAGTCATCCCTGGTCCTCATTGTAATTTCTAAAACTGATCATCTTTGGACCACAGTGAAGTATCAGACATGAGCCATGTTTCTGGCATACCTTTACACCAAAGTTAAAGACACCAGAGATGTTGTTGGTGTTGCAGGACATAACACAGCCTTAAATAAATAAGTGGAGTATTTCTGGAAAGAAGAAATCCTATGTTTGCTTATAACTCATTTTTATCTTTTTAGGAATAATTTTTTGTTTCATTCTTATTTTAAGTAAAATAACAAGGTAGCTCAAAACAAGTAAATCCATTCACATACTAGTTTTTTCAGTGTCTAGACACTTCCTCCTAAAATATGCCCTTTAAGTAGCATCATTCCAGGAAAAAATCCTTTGTACAGAAAGCTAGATTCTCAGAAGGATTTTTCCATGTTCTTGCACTTATCTGTAAAGGATTGCTCAATAAAAGACTTTGAATTCATCTTAACTATTTTCTGTTTATAGATATCCAGAAAATATTTTAAGGCGTGAAATCTGACTGCAAGTAGACTGTTAAGGCTGACTAATTAAAAGCCTGGTCTGAGGGTAGAGTTCCTGTAACAATGCATGTGACTGGTTAAACTAGATAGATTAAAAATTAACCTCAATAAATGACATAAACTTCTGTTAGAGGGGGTTAGGGTTTTTTTTTTTTTCCTTCAAGTGAACTTTAGCCCTGGTAAAAGGTTGCAGAAAGTTCCTTGAGCATGTAAAGCTTATCGGTGTTCTATTTAGTCTCATAGATTTTCAGATTGTCTTTTAAAGAGAGAGTACGGTTCCAGTATCCTTATCTGTTCTTCAAACTTCTTGTACTTGCCTTAACATGTTTCCAGCACTCCAAAACAAAAATAAACAGTAATAACAAAAGCAGTGTATGAGCCTTACGGGGGGG